ATAGGTGTTTGCATTTGTCAAAACTAGGCAAACTATAAACTTGAAATTGGTGCACTATACTGTATATAAATAACACTTTAATAAAAAAATTTGAAATGTGCAACACTTACCATGAAAAATGTTAAGATAAGAGACAGACTGGGAGAAAATGTTTGCCATGTACACAACCAACAGAGTATTGTGGGGATTATAACATGTATAACATAAAATGTATCCAAAGGATGGTAGGGATGAACTGTTGTAGGATTATTGCAACATATGTGAAGTGCTATAATCTATGTGAAGTAGGCTATTAAAGATGTATATTGTAAAACCTAGGGCAACCATTTCAAATGAGGTGTAACTAGTAAGAGAATGGAGAAAAATAGAAATTATTAAAAAAAAAGAATACTAATATAAAAATAGAATTACTAAAATATACTCGACCCCAAAGCAGGCAAAAAAAGAAAGAGAGAGAAAAGTCTCATTGAACATCTGGAACACATAGAAAACAACTAGTAAGATGGTAGATTTAAATGCAATCATATCAGTAATTACAATAAATGCATGGTGATAGGATTAATACCCAGAATACATTTTTTACAAAACACCTACAAACCAGTAAGAAAAAGACCTCACAACAGAAACATTGGCAAAGGATATGAAGAGGAAATTCACAGTATGAAGAGGAAATTCACAGAGGAAGAAACCAAATGTCTAGTAAATGTGAAAAGATGCTCAACTTCCTTAATCAGGAAAATACAAATACAAATTAAAATAATGAGCTACCATTTTACACTCATCATGTTGGCAAACATTCTGAGTCCATTATCAATAAGCGTTAGCGAGGATGGGCAAACAGGTTAGTCATCATGTGTTGGTGGGAGTGTAAGTGGGCGCCATCTCTTTGGTGAGCTACCTGGGAAGGCTGGGGAGGATGAAGGTGCTTCTGTCACCCAGTATTCCAAGTCTAGGTGTCTCACCTAGAGACACGCTCCGACAGGGCACAATGAGACATGTATGCAGACGTTCCTGGCAGTAGGTATGTTTTCATTCCCCTGGGGGGAATGGAAAGTAAAGTGGAGTTTATGAATTCAATGAAATACTATATGGTGTTTAAAACCTGACTGTATCTCAGAAACATAATGACCCATGAAAAAAAGCAAGTTGCAACAGGAAAAGGACAGAATAATATCATTCACATAAAATTTAAAAATACCAAAACCAGTAGTATGCATTGTTTGCCTATGCACACGTGGTAGGAAATGCATAAAGACATGGGGGGGAACTCTAACCCCTGGGAAGGGAGGGGCAGGATGCCGTAGCACTGGCCTTATCTCTGTCCATAACTTTACATTTTTAAAGAGAGATCTGAGCTGCCAGCATATTGAGTCTTGCTCTAGTTGTCTTCCAAGGCCAGCTCCACTCCTGACCCCTGGGGTTCTATTAGCTGGACAAATATATCCCGCTCCCCTCACCCTCTTAAGTTAGCTCCAGTAGGAACCAGGACGCCTGCCCATACTTTCTTCTTTTTCTCTTCTCATTTCATTCCCAGTTCTTGCCACCTCGAAGACACTCAATAAATATGTGTTTAAGGGGACCTGTCCAGGAAAGGGAGTCGCCAAGTCTAAGCTCTACCATTCCTTTTGGGACATCTCATGGTTAGAAAGAGCGTTCATACTGTAACTTAGGGTAAACAAGTCATTCCCCACTCGGCCTCAGTTTTCTCCTAAATGAACCATCCGGCCCCTTCCAGCCCTACACTCTTCGATTCTAGGAATTCTGTCCTTTCATGTCGAAAACAACACTCGGGCATTTCACAAAAGCACCCAACCCCCTGGCTACCCTTGGAACCACAGCCCGCTTCCCTGGAACCCGGACTGCACTGAGCTGGTCACATGAACTCCGGGCTTTCTCTGGTGTGACGGGCTTCTTAGATCCCTTTGTGAGCGCAGGTTTTGAAAGGGAACGACCTCGGGTTCTGGGTTTGAGAGGAGTAGGGGATCCGGCGGGAGGAAGGCTGTCGGAGCCAATCAACCCGCCTCCAGACCCCAGCACGTCGCCTGGGCTACGCGCTCTGATTTCGCCCCTGCCCGCCCGCCTCCCGGCCTCGCCCGAGGGTGCCCGGGCAGGCGAGGACCCCAGGTGAGAGGCCAGAGGGTCCCGAAGGGTGGGAGGCCCCGGCGGTTCGGCCCGGGCTCCACGACGGGCTGGCCCGGGCTCAGGGCGTGTCCGTCGCCGCCTGGCTGGCTGCTCGCTCGACACTGTTCGCTCCTACCGGCTGTAGATGGAGCTGTCTGGGTTCCGGCAGCCTCCGACGAGCCTCGGAGTGTTTCTCTTTAAACGGCCTGAGAGGGACATGCCTCCCAGGATGCAGTTTGTATCAACATGGCAGCTGCTGTGCAGCTCCCCTGCTGAAGAGGCGCCGGGACGGCAGCGCAGCTCGCAGCCGGAGCCGGGGCCGGAGCCGGGGTCGCAGCCGCGGCCGCAGAGGGGCGGCGCGCGGGCCGGGGGCCGCTGCTGAGGGCCGGGGCCCAGCTCGCGGCCGGGGCGC